TGTTTCTAGCTTCTCAGATGTATTGATGTGTCCTGGTAACTTATACAGCATAGGCATATCAAGCAAACGGCAAAGAAAGCCCGGTGCATTTCTCAGACACGGGCTTTACGCACATATCGGACGATGACGTTGAGCGGAATGCATCCGTAGGACTGACTGTCGAGATTAACGCTAGCTCTGCGTTCTCGGTTGATGAGGGATATGAGAACCCCAATATCGAAGAGCCAGAGCCAGTCACTGAAATCACATACTATGATCAACTGCCCCGTATCCCTCCTCCCAATCAACCTCTAGGAGCTGAACCACGCAACGCAGGCTGGTTTGATCTGGAGAGAGTTATTGGGACTATCCAGAATGGATATTCAGTCGAAGAATTGCGCGAATATTTGAGCTACTACCATGATATTGACGCAGATCTATTAAAGGACAGTCTCAATGAAGAAATCGTGGGACTCCCAGCAATTTTCTTCGTCGTCGAAACTAATGACGCGGAGCTTATTCGCTACTGGATCAAATACGGCGGTGATCCAAACGCTACCTATGGACCTATTCGTTTCCCCGTCTTAGCCTTCGCGATTCTGCGGTGCGCTCGCCCTCGTCTACAAGCAGCTAAGACTGTGGAGACGCTACTCAGGCTTGGTGCATCGCCCCTTGTCATTCCCGCGGCATACTATGACCCATTCGATCGTGACCTTCCGGAGTCTGGTCCTGACGAAAAAGAGCTACAAGATATCGTAAATAGCGAGAGACTCTGGTGCTCACCAGAGATACGGCCACAGTTAGCCGCCGCATTGAGTCTAACACAGCGATACCTACTTTGGAGAGCATCGAGGTTGGAACCGCCATCTGGTCGCGAGCGAACGCTAGCTCTGCGAAGAAACGCGGAAGAGATCCTTGGCCTGGAGCAAACTATCATTGGGCAACGACTAGCAGCATGGACTTTGAAAAAGAGCTTCTTGGTGTAAGTGTCAGGAATCCAGTCGTCCCTAATCCATCAGACTAACATTCGATAGAAATCTCGCTATACCAGGCAGGAAGCCGCTGGTGCTCTTTTTTGGTGGGCTAAAAGGCCACGGGAAGAGTGACCTCGTAAATCAATTAGGGCGTATCCTATCCTTAGATATTGAGAGGGTTAACTTGACCCACATCAAGAGCGAGGACGAGCTATTCGGTCTCAACGCACCGGAGCAGGGCCACGAGCTGGGCTCACCTTTGAACAACTTCCTCGCTAGAAAAACTGGGCAAAGAAGCATCGTCTTTATCGAAGAATTCGAGAAGACAAGCGAAGATATCCGCAAGGCGCTTTTGAGTACTTTTGACTTAGGTACGTGAAGCAATTGACTTAAGTCAACATGAGTCGAAACTAAACTTCATAGGTGAATACACGGACCGTCGAAACAGCCAGAAGATTGATTGTGCCGACACTATCTGGGTCTTGTCAACAGACAAGTTCGACAACACGATTCGCAGCTTCTGCGAGGCGAATAGCAAACTATTACGCGATTCCGATCTACGATTGGAGCACTTTGCGCTCAAGAAACAGCTCTCCCGCCAACTTCGTCATGATTGCATTGCTAACTTTGGAGCTCGATTGACTAGCCGGGTTACTGAGATTGTTCCCTTCCTGACTTTCAATGCAGACGAGCAACTAGTGCTGGCCGACAAGTACATCATGGAACTGGAAGAGAGAGTTGCTGGACCTGTAGTCGACTCGGTTGACCCCGAAGAGGAGAGTCTCATTGGCAATGTCCGGCTGAAGATCACGAACAATGCCACCGTATGCTCTACCATTGCGAATGAGTACTACCTGCCCGAACTCGGAGCTAAGAGTATCTCTCGTGGTGTTGATTCGGTCATTGCGACTCCGTTAATAGGCTTGTACTTGGAAGACGGTGACGACTTCAGCGAAGATCAGCCGGAAACCAAATACAAGGTTGGAGTGAACGAGGAGAATGAGGTGGAAGTATCCCCTCTGTCGGATACGATAGGTACCAACGGCTATTTGGGATTCAAGTACTCGTGGTAGTTATACGAGTTACATGAATTGCATGAAATGCATGAGGTAGGATATCGGTTGGGTATTTGGTATTTCAACGAATATTTTTAGGATCATGATATTGCAGGTGGTGTATGATAAAGGATTTTGGGCTCCAACTGTTTACTGTCGACTACCGATGAATGTTTCTTATGTTTTTTCTTTCTCTTCATTTCGGACTTGGGACTTGGGATTTGGGATTCAGGACGTGTACTTGCACACACAAAAAATACATGCTTGTCTTTTACAGGTAATATTAGGTAATGTAGGTAATGTCGCTATTTATTGTCGGGCTGTCGTCGGCACATGGATGAGATACCTAGATGGTGGATTGTGGCTCGTGCGTTAGATACCTAGGTACCTAAGGTAGCTTCTTTTTAGCTAAGGTTCCTTCACATGTCAACGGAGAGCCTTTTTCTTTCCCTTGTCTGCTGCTGCTGCTGCTGAATGACGTAATGAACAGGGTTACCTACTCGGAATGCTTCGACTTATACACCCATGGATCTGACAAAAGCTCATCGTCATGGGAGCGTCAATTGTATGTAAACTACCCCCTCGTCTCGTCTGGCCATTCAAATTGAGTCAATTGCTGTATTGATTACCTATTAGGGCTCTTTTCCTTGCTTTATGTCTCAAGCAAGTTTGAACTTTGACTGTTTTGGCTCTCTTGTTATTGTTGTTGTTAAGCTACCTCGTTAACAAGTTTGCATACAAGCACATTAAGCTATTCTCCCCGTTTGACTTTACCACATAGTTCGTTATGTCTCCTCAGGAGAAAGGTTCTGAGGTTTGGTCCGACGTTCGAGCCGAAACTAGAAGAGGGCTCACGGGCTTGGGCAATCCCCTCACTCATCCGTTTCATTTTATATCCGAAATAATCCAGTGGCAGTTCCAATTCTGCTTCGTCATATTTCAATGGTTCGCAGACAAGCTATTCTCCCCGACACCTCCGGGGCCAAGCACGAGGCTGGGGAGGCCGAAGGTTGCGATTATCGGTGCAGGTATTACTGGTGTGACATCGGCAGCTCATTGCATTGGCCACGGATTCGACGTGGTGATATTCGAGGCTGGGGATGAAAATAGCCTGGGAGGCATCTGGAGCGTACGTATTTTAAACATTCCGTTGAATACTAACCGATCGAATTTTTATTTACTGACGATTCCCCGTATAACAGAAAGTAAACAATACCTCGAGCTTGCAAATTCATTCATTTATGTATAGGTTTCATCCGTCCGTCAAATGGGAACGTGGTTATCCAGACCGGCGGCAGATTGTCAGCCAGGTCAAGCAGCTCTGGGAGAGATATGGACTGGACATGAAAACAAAATTCAACACTCGGGTTGAAAAGGTGTATAAAGACGATAAGGGCCGCTGGATCATCAACAACCCCGCAAACGGTAGATTCGAAGGTATCATAGCGGCCGTAGGAACATGCGGAGATCCCAAGATGCCGAAGATGTACGGCATGGAAAATTTTAAGAATCCTGTTTACCATTCTAGCCAATTGACTGGGTGAGTACCAAGGTGGTGTTATTTCACGAATTACTTAACTAATGGAAAACAGCGTTGACGCAAAAGAGAAATCCATGATAGTTATCGGCGGCGGCGCGTCGGCTGTAGAAGCTTTGGAATATGCTTCTGTATGTTATGCCCTCAAGATATCCCCTAAAAATCCGATTGAGGGGTTTCAGGTCTATGGGAATATGGGCTTTATGATAGTCGTCACTAACGTGCAATGTTACCTGTAGGACGAGGGGGCATCGAAGATATATATCCTATCGCGCAGCGACAAGTGGATCATTCCTCGCAACTGGCTTGTTGATATATTACTTTCTTTGAATATCTGGGGGCAGGAGACTATGTTGTCTGCTATCCCCGAGGCGCTGCTGAAGAAATTCTTCTACCGAGACCTACAAGACCTAGCACCAAACGACAAGGGCATATTTATGGACACGCCGATGGTTAATTCCGATGTCATGGACAAAATCCGTTCCGGCCAAGCTGAGTGGGTACGGTGTGATATTGAAGGGTTTACCGAAACAGGAGTCTTAGTGAACAAGAGAGATAAAGGAGTACCGAAGGGAGGCCCCGGTCGAAAAGTCAATATCGAAGGCGATATGGTAGTCATGGCGACCGGATATAAGAGGCCATTGTTGAGTTTCCTTCCGGATAACTGCTATAGTGAATCATATGGCCCGCCAAACTGGTATCTCCAAACGTTTCCTCCGCAGCATCCCTCCATTTCGGCCATCAACTGCACTTATCTATCGGCTATTGGTACTGTGGGCAACTGGCATATCGGCATATACACCCGGATTCTTCTTATGTTTCTCGTGGACCCCTTAACGCGCCCATCCACGTTCTGGATGAAACGCTGGATCGATATGACCAAGGTCCTGAAAGCCACAGCTCCAACTGGTGCCTTTGACTTCTTTACATACCTTGAACTGCTCTGGTGGTTCTTCTTCTGCGTTACTATTAACCCGTTCCGATGGAAGTGGGCATTCTTCGTCTTCTTCGGTTTGGGATTTGCACTGCCTAAGCATGTGGTGGCCGCCGAGGATCAGGTCCGAAATGGCATGGGGCATGCCGAGGCTGACGAGGGGAGTAGAGACGTCGGCAGAAGTTTTTAGGAAATTATTGACGACAAACCCCTCTTACACGGACATTTCTCGGACTGTCTGGACATTCAAGAAACCTCTGACTCGGGAAATTCGGTGTCAGACTGGTCGGACTACCTAGAAGCTCAACGTACAGCCGCCATGTTGGACTCAAATCCTAATAGCCACAATATAATTTTCCACAAACGTGGCAAATGCGACTATCATAACTATCTTGATGATAGTTTACTATACAGCAATCCCCTTTTCAATCACAAGAAACGGTGCTATATTTCAAATTTCGTGTGACCCGTATCTATCAATGATACTTTGAGAGGCCCTTTCGATAAGACTCCCGTGAGGGATAATTGCTTCGACGCTCGCACGGGACCACCTGTACGCGATTGTTTTTTGGCGGCCTGCCGTTGTGGTTCAATGGTGGAAAGGAGTTTTAATCCTCGTTGTATCATTTTTGAGAACGTAGTGTAGTTGCAAGTTGCTGGACTGTGTAAGATACGTAATGAACTATAGTTATATGGGAGAAAAGAAACCCGGTGGCTGTTAAAATGCTAGTTATAGTTAAGTTTGAAACCTTTGTTGTAGTACTTTTTATTTGAATCTTGGAGCCAGCATACCTATAGATAGGTAGCCATAGGTCCGGATTCAATGATATTTAGTTGACATTAGGTATATCCCTAACGCTTGCCCCGGTCTCTGCGTCCACCCTCCATGACCTTGAGACGTTTGTTAAACCTTTCGCCTATCTCCCGAGTCCCAATGGCATGACCACTTCCACGGGCGCTATCGACCGTCTCTCTGGTTCTTTTACGACTCTTCTCGAGTAGCGCCTTGGTGCTACTGCCGCCTTCTCTACGCTTGGTTAATCTCTCGATTCGGTCCACGCCCTCGCCAAGATCCCGCCAGTCTTCACCACCAAAGTTCATCTTTGCGCTGCGTCCCTCAGTCTTGTTGCGTCTGGCGCGGTCTTTCTTGCTCTCCTTCGGCAAACGCACGTAGTTTGACTCTTCATATTCACGCTTGAGATTCTCTTCCTGGCGCTCAGAGGCGGTCTTCATCTTTCTGCCGCCGGACACGATCGTCGTTCCAATGCTCGGTTCTGCGATTGGTATATGCGATAGCTCGTTCGCGACATACTCATCGACAACGGCAGACTTCATGGGTCTGCGTTCACGCCATTCCCTCCGCTCGGCTGTGGGCATGACGGTAGGGGTGATCTTGGGTGGGCGGTATGCGCCTGTCTTGTCTTCCGTCGCTGTAATGGCGGCCATTCCTACGGGGTTTGAAGGCGGCGCAAAGTTGTTGAAGCTGGGACCAAACTGCTTGGCTGAGAGACCTATTGTAGGTCGGACAGGGGCCTCGTTTTCAGAAGCATCTTCATCACCATTTCCTTCATCTGACTCTAATTCTGACTCTGAATCAGCATCTTCTAACGCCTGAGCAGCAACGCGCTCAGCATCATCAGCTGCACGCAATATCTTATCAAGCTGGAATTGCAATTTCTCCTCGAGGGGCCGGACTCCCTTATCAAGGTATAGTCGTAATTCAACCAACTTTTTCACAACCGTGTCCGAGAGGTCGGATCCGCTCGGCTCTTCCAGTTCCTCCGAGCCGGTTTCTTTTGCATTCCTGATCTTAAGTAAAATTAGGAAGACAAGGTTTTGTAGGTAGGAGAGTAGAAGCTCGTTTTTGACGTCGAGGAGGGATACCCCGTCTTTGGCTGGTTCGATGCCGGATATTTTAGGAGTGGCCTCGAACGCTGAGTTTAACGAGTTTGATAATGAGTCTAGTAAGGTCGGTAAGGATGCCGGGACTGCCATGGCTGGGTCCGGAAGAAAAGAGTCTTTTGCGATATGAGATTGACTTCCTCTAAGAACACAACGATTGAAAATTATTCGGCGCTGAACGATGAAAAAAAAATAAGTTGAACGATAACGATAAGATATCCCTGTATTCTTTTTTCCCCCAAAGCTAAGAGGAATACGCCTTGTTTGCAGCGACAGCAGCTAGGACCCCTGTCATGTATGTACTTGTACCTAGGTACCTTATGTAATCATGCGGATGACTAAGATCCCAGGATAAATGTTACCTAAGGTTCTTGGGGACAGCTGTCTCAGGCAGGTACCTAGGTAGGTATCCACTCCAAATACCTAAATATGCATAGCTCCTAAACTTTTATGAATCTACAAGAAACATCATAATAAATATTTCAAGCATACGCCGTCGACCGCATATTGAAACAATCGTCGAAACTAAAACGCTTTGAGACGCGCGCTCTCAAATCTACTCTATCAATTTTAGGCCAGCTACTACTACGAAATAACTTGGTTAGCTTTGTATCCCTTCTTAGATATAAAGGAAACGAGCCTTTGTGCTCTGTGATTGGTCTCGAATCCTTCTCTGCGGCGCTCAGTGATACGTAAGTTGAACAACTTTTATTTTATTTTATTTTCCTGCCTCCTCGTTTTTCTCCCAAGTCCTTTCTTAACACACACCCTCTAGCAATACGTATATTAGCTGACTCTTAAGCAGAGCTCGATGTCATAAACACCAACGATGAAGTCGAGAACTTTTGCGCCGTCCTGGGCGCTCTGCTCTGCGCTACTCGCCCTCCCCCAACTTGCGACTGCTTTCTACCTTCCCGGCGTCGCGCCTACATCATATAAGCCTGGCGATAAAGTCCCTCTTTACGTGAATAGTATCAAGCCGGTTGCCGGTCAAGATGCGCTTCTGCATTCCGTCATGTCATACGACTATTATAACGAGATGTTCCAGTTCTGTCAGCCCGAAGGTGGCCCATCATACGTGTCCGAAAGCCTCGGGAGTATCTTGTTTGGCGATCGAATAATGACTTCACCCTTTGAACTCAGCATGCAGAGCAATGATACCTGTAGGAAGCTATGTACTTCGAAGTACGACACGGCCGCTGCGCACTTCGTAAACAAGCGTATAATGCAGGGTTACGCCTTAAACTGGCTAGTGGATGGGTTACCAGCGGGACAGCATCTCCTCGATGACCTTACCGGAACTACGTTTTATAGCCCGGGTTTTGCTATGGGCTCTATCTCTACGACTGATCCTGACGGCCCGACCTTCTTCAATAACCACTACGATATCGTTGTCGAATATCATAAGGTCAACGGAAAAAACGACCAGCTGAGGGTAGTGGGTGTAATTGTTCAACCTGCCTCCAAGGCATACAAGGGCGATAATCTGGAATGCAACGACAATCAGACACCACCCGTAGTCCTTCTCGAAAATGAAGGCTCTCAAACTGAAGTCACATTTACCTACAGCGTATACTGGACCGAGTCACCTACTGCCTGGGCAACACGATGGGATAAATATCTACACGTCTTCGACCCTAAAATCCATTGGTTCTCCCTCGTCAACTCCGCTGTTGTTGTTATCTTCTTGACGGTCACGGTTGCCTCAGTTCTCTTCAGGGCTCTGAAGAAGGATATTGCGAGATACAATCGATTGGATCAAATCAGCCTAGAGGATTTTTCGGGTGCGACGGATCTTGAAGATGGCGTCCAGGAGGACTCTGGCTGGAAGTTGGTCCACGGCGATGTTTTTAGAACCCCGGCGCATCCTCTGCTCCTCTCCATCTTCCTCGGTAATGGTGCCCAGTTGTTCGTTATGACCGGCTTTACTATCTGTTTTGCCTTGCTGGGTTTCCTATCGCCATCTAACCGTGGCTCCCTTGGAACCATCATGATTATCCTATACACGCTCCTTAGCTTTGTTGGTGGTTATGTCTCTGCGAGAGTTTACAAGTCGATGAACGGCGAGAAGTGGAAGCTGAATATCAGTCTAACTCCTCTCTTGGTTCCCGGCATCGTCTTCACGACATTCTTCTTCCTCAACCTATTCCTATGGGCTAATGGAGCTGCCGGTGCCGTCCCGTTTACCACTATGCTAGTTATCATTGGTATTTGGTTCATCATCTCAATCCCCCTTTCGGTCTCTGGCTCTTGGCTTGGATTCCGTGCAGCAGCTTTTGAGCCTCCTGTCCGAACCAACCAGATCCCGCGACAGATCCCTCCTGCCACCACTTATTTGAAACCCATCCCAAGTATGTTGTTAGTTGGTATTCTACCTTTCGGCGCTATCTTCGTTGAGCTATACTTTATCATGAGTTCGATTTGGTTTAGCAAGATCTACTACATGTTCGGTTTCCTCTTCCTCTGCTATGGTCTCATGATCATCACCTGTGCTGCAGTTACAGTTCTGATGGTGTACTTCTTACTGTGCGCCGAGAACTATCACTGGCAGTGGCGATCTTTCCTGGCTGCGGGTATGAGCGCGGGTTATATCTTTGCTAACGCTCTGATATATCTGATCAGCAAGTTGTCTCTGGGTGGCTTATCCGGCACTGTTTTGTATATCGGATATAGCGCTCTTCTTTCCTTCCTTTTCTTTATCTTAACAGGTATGCATTTGCATTATACATATCGTGAACTATACTAATATCGTGCTTTAGGGTCCATTGGGTTCTTCTCTAGTTGGTGGTTCGTTAACAAGATCTACCGCTCCATCAAGATCGACTAAATAGCACAAGCTACGAGGGGCGGACGGAAGGAGAGCGGACCCGAAGTAATTGAAAAATCTGTACTATACGAAATGTACGACCAACATCTTTTTTTTCCACGCGCCGTCTTCGCAGTCCAGTTTCATGAGGTGGGATGGAATTTAACGAGTTGCATAAATGTGGCCTACGAGATCCGAAGGGCCTGGCGTTTTAGGAGGCGTTCTTCCATGTTCAGAAGAGGCTCACACGAAACCTGTAGAATAGAAGAAAACTTGTCCAGTCTGGTTCCGGCGGAGCAGATAGGCACAAAACGAACGTGGGATCCTTCCTAGGTATCTGGGTACGTATTAGAAGAGAAATTTATGAATAAAAGTCTACCTACGTGATGTCTTGAGTTTTATTCTACTATTAGTGTGATAATTTTCCCCCTTACGCGGCCAGTATGAAGCCCTCATATTTCGGCTGAAGACCCTCCGCAACGTGAGAGACTTGAAACCTCCGGAACCCGAAGTGGGGCCGTTCCGTTGGCCGTACCGTACTTAGGGGAATGGAAACCTCACATTGCTTGCGGTCCTACCCGAAACGTATGTCGATTAACTCGAGTCAATCTGATAGACTCAAATACACTATATATGATTTAATACAGTTAAAACAACAACTAGGCGGATGGCTATTTTTTAATGGTAGACCTGAGGAGACTGACCTCCTAGATTACATATTATTCTGTAGGTAGTCATTGTGACTATTACATTGCCCTGGGCGACTAGCCACGGAATTCCTTAATAGAATATGGCTGTGACGATGATTATGGTAATTAAGAATAGGTCCAACTATTCAATCAAGGCATATGAGCCATATGCCTACCATGCTAGACATCATAAAACCCCTATGATTCGCATGTCCCATAATAAGACGCATTCTTGCCGACTTACTAGCGAATACTTCACTCATCATCATCCTCATCATCATCAGCCATGAACTGGAACTGCTTCTTCTCTCCCACCGGCGACGATTGACTCGGTCCCGCACCCCCAGTAACGCTCGCGCGCCGCCACGCTTCCCTCTGCTCTTTCTCGCGCTCGGCCCGCAGCCGTGCCTGCTCCTCTCTGGCCCTGCGCTCTCTCTCCTCGCGCTCCTGCCTCTCTCTTTCTTCTGCCGCCTGCTGTTCTTCCTTTTCGCGCTCCTTGCGCGCTTTTTCTTCCTCGGGGTCGAAGTTCTCCGGGTCGATACCTTTCTCGGAGAGGAAGGCTAGAGTAACTAGCGCTCCTTTACGCACGGACTCCTCGCTTGGCCAGGGCACGAATTCGACGTCGCTGAATGGGTTTAGCTTCCATGGTAGCTCCTCTTGTGCGGCCATCGCATCGCTGCTGGCTGTGGTAGTGAGCTGCTGGGACTGCGACGCGGGGTCTTGTTGTTGCGCTCCATTCATGTTCGCCGGTGTCACAGCACCAGCTGGGGCACCGTTGGGTGTACCTCCCGCCGGTGTCGTAGCGGCCGTCTCTGTCCCAGGTCCTCCACTATTCTCGGCTTTGGGTTCGGTTGAAAGGCTGTTCGCTGCACCAGCGGGAGGGATAGTAGTTTTGCTAATCCGGCTAGCGTAGGCGAGTAGTTCGTCGTAGTCGATATCGTAGCTAGGGCGGTCGGACGGGAATACGGTGGCAGGAGCATTGACAAGTTCCTTCCTCGTGTTGGCTAGTAAGCGTAGTGTGTCCTTGATCTGAGTATCGAAGCTGGTTGTCGCTGCTCGTAGATCCTGAATCCGTCGGTAGTTAGATTGGTGGGTTTGTACTGGGGAGGTATATGAATCAGTTCCTATCTAACTGTCATCTGGACGAAAAAGTTGAAAGAATAATCGCGGAATGGGGAGAAACTAAAAGAAGAACATACAGTCCTCAAGGCCCTTGTTGAGCTCAACGTCGGCGAGCCCCAATTCGTTAACTTGAGCGACGGAGGGATGATACTTGGCAATTGAGTCGACTAGCGTACCTAATGCCTTCTCGACACGGTCGAAGCATACGTCGAGCTGCTTATCCATTCTGCGCTCAGATAATGTGTTATATTGGGATCAAGGAGTAAGTAAAAAAAAAATATGAAAGATTGAAGCTTTCGACATTCACTTTATCATTAGAGCTAAGTTCTCATAATATGCAAGGTACGTACCTATTAAGCTATGTGGTATTAAGCGCTTAAATGCATTAAAACGTACCTGCGCCGTACCTCTGTGTAGACATTGTGGCTTGTGCATTGTTGTGGCTGACAATAGGGCTGCCCCCAACCGGAATCCTCCGAAATGTCAGCCGAAGAATGTCGCGCAGCTTCCATCCAAAACCGGAACGGAAGTTGAAGCTGAAGCTGTCACCAAAAATCACATCACAATCAAAGTCAATTTAGTTGCCATTGAGTCTCCCGGCCGATATACTCTTCGACTCCAAGCCAAGATGGTGTTCCAGGTACGACATGCACCAGTCTCCAATACATTCTATGGATGTTAATTGTTGATGCACCCCTACCCTCTAAGCCCGTGGGAATTTCTGCGAGAAGTTTTGCTAACCTAGCGGGACTATAGACTCCTATTCGACGGGCGTATCCGTCCTACAAGAGCCCCTACGGACCTAAGTGAGTGCGCACCCGATTGTTCGTTAGCCAAATACCTGGTTCTAGTTTGGATGTGGTATCAACAATGCAAGCCAAAGCCACATGGATTGGGGAAATTTGCATTAGAGGATGGAATATGGAAAGCCATTCAAACCCTGGCTAACGGATGAACGAAAGGTACCACTACCAACCGAATGTTGCAGGGTGGACATTTAAGCAGATCAGCAGCCTGTAAGCAACCCGTTTACTTTCGCTCTCGACCGGTCCAGAGAGCTAGATTTGCCCCTTGCAAAGCGTACATGCTATCTGCACAGGCTTAGACAGCATCATGTTTGTTTGTTTATCTATAGCAGCATGCTAACGGACCGATTTTACAGCGGATTCAAGGCCGGCGCTTTCGGTGGCGTAGCTCTCTTCGCCGTCATCTTCTACGCCTCAGGCATCCCCAGAGTAAAGAAGGATATCCTACAAAAAATACCCTTCATCGGTGGCTACTTCATCAAGGAGATCCCCGCGTCAGACAACGTGAGTTATCGTCGCAAGCTCCCTACTCTTTGATCAAGCTTTGCTAATCCATCATATCCAGCCCTTCTAAACTTGGATCGTGCTGGTGGTTCTTGCTAGACAGATAAGGGAGCGCGATGCTAGAATAGAGCTCATACTGCGAACTTCTGTACAAAATGACATCCAAATAGATATCTCATTGAGTCCTTGACACCCCCATCCTTACCTTTTAATATTTGATGCAGTTCTATTTTACACGGTGCTCACTGTCAGCCATCCTCATCTAATTGTCTGTCTATTACGTGTGGTGGTGATACAATAGTCCGTTTGAAATAAGTCATCCCATCCACAAGTCACCTTCTCTTCTATGCCTTATTTTCTGCAGCCAACTCTTCCTTCATCTCGCTCTTCATGCGCGTGACGGTTCCAGCACCTCCGTAGACAAGACCTGTATAGATCATAGCGATACTCGCACCAGCATTCAAAATTTCCAGGGCTCTCCGCCCATTTGTAATTCCTCCCGTAGCAAAGATGACCTTTTGTTCTTGCGGCTGGTTAGTGCTAGGTTTCTTCTCGGGTTCGGAGAATCCGGTGATGGTTCCTTCAATTCCTGTTATATTCTCATCGACCGCCTCGTTGGCAACAGCCTTGTCCGTCTTGGCAGGCTGGAAGGATTTGCCGTCTAGCAATTTCCGGTACCGTCTTACCAAGTCGACAGTTCGGTCAAACATCATCGGACCCGAATAACCACCGGTCTCCGTCATAGTATATTGCTCTTTACGCGATATGTTCACCCCAGTTGGGACCAGTCCATTTCGGCGCTTCGTAGTATTACCCACGATGACTCCATCGACACCACTCAGCCACACCGCCTGCGCAATACCTTCCATCTGAGTATATTCGTCCTCATCCGGCGAAACCTTGACCATGACCCTGGGCGCCCACTTCCTGTCTGTCCGCCGCGCTTCGTCGACTACCGCACTTAAAATCCGCGTAAGGGGTTCCACGGCTTGCAAGTCACGCAGGCCTGGCGTGTTCGGGCTGCTCACGTTAACTACGAGCACATCCGCGTACCGTGCTAGCCGTTGCACACAGTATACGTAGTCCCGCTTCACGGCTTCCACGTCACGTTCGTCCGTCTCCTTGTTCTTAGCAATCTGCACCAATAGCAAGCGTCCAGGCAACAGACTACCCGGAGGAACATTGGCCTCGCCGTTCAATACCCTTGCTTCATCCAAGCCAACTGTCTTAGCATATAGCCTAACCCGATCCCGTAACCGCATAGCCATATCGTCAGCGCCACGCGAATTTAGTCCATACCGGTTTATCAGACCGTCCAGTGTAGGAACTCGAAACATGCGCGGTTTGGGGTTACCCTCCTGTGGTCGCGGCGTGCAGCCACCAACCTCGACGATAGAGGCGCCGAGGGCGAACAGTGGGTCCGGGATATCAGCATGTTTGTCAAGGCCCGCAGAGATACCAATAGGATTTGCCAGTTGCTCTCCGAAGACGGATACAGTAATATCCGGACCATCGGAGATAGATGAGCTAGAACGCTCGCGCGGATGAAGGCCTAGGTTATATAGTGTTTTCATAGAGGAGACAGAAGCATCGTGCGCCTCTTCGGCGTCTGGGTAGAGAAAGCGGAGTAGCGGGGGTACGACATAACGGTGGATGAAAGCGCGAGTATCGGTGCTATAAACGTAGACTACATAGCCAGATACAGCTATAGACGTCATATAGAATGCCGTTTTTAACTGGGACGCGGGTAGAAAGTTCGTGGAGGTTGAGACGTTACGGGTAACAATTCGGGTACGGAGCTGAACGGGAGATCGTCTAGAGGAAGACAGCGGGTTGGCCGGTGAGCTGAGGAAGCGCCGAGCTATTCGATGAGAAGATGCCATCGTGAAGGTTTTGTGATGGGCATAGTAGCCCTCAATGGCTTGTGGTTGCGGTAGAATTTGATATTAAATATATCAAAGGCCGAGAGATTAAAACTTGGTGCTGTGTAAATTGTGTAAATTGTGTAAATCGAACGTTTGAAGCATTGGAAACTTTAGTTCTTGGCAAGCGTCACTTTTTACCCAATCAGAGAAGGTTCAGCTATAGGTGGATCTATACGTACCTAGGTACCCACCTAGTGTATGTACTTGGTACCAGTCTACATAGGTATTAAAGTTGTCAGGGGTGGAACATCCAAGATCTGTCAGCTGTTGCTCAATTGAATTATTAGGTAGGCAGGTTAATTCTATTTCTAAAATTATACCTACCTACATTACCTACCACCTAACTAATAAATACCACGTGCAAACCGCATATCCTAGACCTAAATCGACAGGTAATAAATCAATTATCTTAGATTCGGTACTAAATATGCTTCAACTTAAAATTGGCCTTTTATATTTTCTTTAAAAAGTCTTTATTTCCCTAGTTCGTGAATGCGATAATGACTCCCTGGTTGGAGCCAAGTTCCTCTTGGGTCTCCCAGCTGGCCGGTTATAGTCTCATTGCTACGGCCACATATATCTACGCCATTCATAAGATCGCATCTCCTCGCACAGGGCTAGCCATATTCCTATCTTTGATAACTATTCAGTTCCTTGGTCACACCTGGCTATCATTCGTTACTAAACATGCCTCGAACCCGTATTTGGTATGTATACAATAAACTAATATTTTTAAACTCGTTATAACTAGACATATTAAGCTCTAATACAAGATTAGGATGAAGTATTCCATGTTCCCCAAGCCCAGGTTTACTGTGATGGGAAGTTCGGCGTATGGGATGACAAGATCACTACGCCTCCTGGACTGTCAGTTCACACAACATCTTCCTTAGTTACCCTCACAACTGATAACTCAAAGCTACATTTTAACAATCCTGGAAACGAGACTATCAGGACTTGCATGTTCGGTGTACAGTCTCCGAGAGTTCAACGTAAAGATTATATCTTATCTGATCATAGCTGTCGTCGCGTCTAGGGCTCAGCTTAGACAGCTAGGGACAGCAAGCAATGCACCAACTTCAAACCTGTACTCGGTAGATTCCTTCTGGACAGGAATCAATGTCACCCTGTTCCCTGTCCTGTTCTTCTTTTCAGGATTGTACTACACGGATGTCCTCTCCACGTTTGTCGTACTGCTTGCCTACATCAACCACCTAGGCCGGATGTATTCGGATAACCCGTCCACAGCAAGTAATGTCCGTACGATCTTCCTCGGGCTCTTGGCGCTGAGCGTGAGGCAGACCAACATCTTCTGGGTCGTGGTATACATGGGTGGCTTGGAAATCGTTCATGCTATCAAGACTCTCTGCCCGGAAACTACGGCTGCTCCAGCATTTCAAACGCTGTCGGAACAGGTCAGTTTTTATGTTTGGAGGTATTCGCTTGGCGATATCCACGATCCGCCCCTGAACCTAGCATACCCAATTGGTAAGTCTCGAACCACACCCTAGACTATTACTCTAACCAAAAAAGTAGACCTGGTCCTTTCCGCCGTCAGCATTGGCATAGCTGCAACCTGTAACCTTGGGACTATTATACGTAGGCAGATTTGGCCGCACCTTATAGTCCTAGGGGCGTTCGTTGGGTTTGTCGTCTGGAATGGTGGCGTTGTTCTAGGTGAGTTGAGCCAGTAGAATCGTCTTTTCAGAGAATTGATCATTGACTGGGAATAGGGGATAAATCCAATCACGTGGCAACTCTGCACTTAGCCCAGATGCTATATATATGGCCTCTATTTGCGTTCTTCTCGGCACCTCATTTTATCCCATCGCTTATAGATATTACCATATATGTTCTCCAAGTCATCACTGGTTCAACTAAGTCAGACTTGCACTCGAAGAAGCCCCCAGTTTCTGGGAGTAACCCAAAGGGGACAAGCATGTCTAATCAGTCCTCAGTTCTAAAAGCATTCAATCATATCGGGTCGAGCCATACACTCCATTATATCCTTATCCTCGCCGGAACTCTGGTGATGACTACCTTAATCGTACGATACAACACGATTATCCATCCGTTCACACTAGCCGACAATAGGCACTTCATGTTCTACATCTTCCGGTATACGATCTTAAGATCATGGTGGATAAGATATGCCCTCGTCCCGGTCTACGTAATCTGCGGCTGGCTGTGCTGGGCTGCTTTGCAAGGCAGTCCCTCAACAACACTACCTGCTCAGAAGCGCCAATGGATATTAACGCCATTCAGTACCAAGGCCTTGACCTTATCACCACCTCCGACTGGCAAAAAGTTGTCAAGCGTGGCTCTCACAGCGGTGGATGCGACAGTAATGCCACCCTCTACATCGACCGCGCTAATTCTCCTCGCAGCCACTCTCTCTCTTATAACGGCACCGCTAGTCGAGCCGCGTTATTTTATCCTACCCTGGGTATTCTGGCGCTTACTCATTCCAACGCGACCTATCTTCGCAGGTTTGGGGTTAACTTCACTGATCTCCAAGCACCTTGTGCCTCTCCTTGAGACAGTGTGGTTTCTGCTAATCAACGTAGCCACTATGTACATATTCATCACTCGGCCATTTTACTGGCGAGGGCAAGACGGCGAGTTACTAGACGGTGGAAATGTGCAAAGATTTATGTGGTAATTCTACTATGTTTTTAATAATTATTGATCATACACAAGTCTTGCATTCTCCATAGCTAGCACATAGATAGACCTGTAATTAGAGTATTCTCACGACCAAAATGAAAGAGTGATCAAAATATTGCCATCCGAGCTTGTACTCTTAGTATTTATCTAATGGTATTGGTAACTCTCTCGAAGTAAGCATATAACCCTCTTTTCCAATACTATATTCGCATACTATGCAGCGATCATCCGATTTTTATCGTCGTCGCTTAGTGCGTCAATTTCATATATGATGGCGTGTCGTTGTGTGATGAGGTGAGATGGTGTTGCCCAGTTTCAAGCCGGTGATGTCGAATTATTTTCTTTCTCTTAATTCTCTTCTTTTCTCTTGGTCTTTGGCATGCTTGCTGCGAACCATATACCCAGGCCGCCTGAACGCCGTTCCTAAATAGCAAACTCTTAACGCCGTGCCGTGCAGTGCCATATACAGTATCCATCAATTCCCTAATGTAAATTCGCATGGCCTTGACCCTTATCCACCCTTCTTTTAAATGCCTTCTTGAGAGAAACCGTAATTTATGCTGTATATTCCATGTTTATCCTTCCCGACCGTAAGTCCCCACAAGTGGGCAGTCCGCTAAGTACGTTCAGCATTGAAATGGGCAGATACGTAAATTGTGATTTCGCCATCCCTTACCATGATTCGGCCCGATTTCGGTGGTGAGCTGTTTTATGAGAGTGATCATAGACTTAACCTGTCTAAACTCAAGCGATCTTGACTCCGTACCCGCTTTACAACACCTAACTTGAAGAATCGCTCATCGCCACCGGCTGTCCGACCTCCAATGTACCACTTATCAGCACCAAGTACATCGCGGAAACCCTCACTACTACTGTCACTACCTCGCCGACGGCCGGGAGCTGGGATAGGCATGCCTGGGCGATGTGGTTGCGGGGAGTGATGATGTCGAGGTGGTGACTGCAAGGGTAGTTGATTCATAACACCCCCTGTTCGTTGTTGAGGCTGTTGTTGTGATGGTGATTGGGCCTGGGCATGGGCATGGGATGTTGACGAGATTGATCGCGCCCCCGAAGGCGAGGAACCTGATGCAGGCTGCGAGGTATGCTTGTTAGGTTGTGACGTTGCTGAGAGGGCCGGCGGTGTCTGTTGTCGGAAGGCGGCGAGGAAGGAAGATAGGAAGAATGGGCGCTGAGACGAAGGCATCTTGGCGATAGGCGGGAAGAAGGCGGGAAAAGAGCGAGAAGGATTATAGAGGAAAGTACGTGATGATTGAGATCAAAGTGTTTAAGTCGCCGTGCGTGAAAAGGCGCCGTGGGCTAAGGCGACCAGCGCTGACGGTGAAGCCAAGGATCGATGAAAATAAACGCAATCTATCGTAGTAATAATGTTCGTGTCGGATCAGCCAAGAGGGGTTTAGGTATCCGTAGATAGTTATAAAATGAGGTAGTCTGTTCTTCAATAAAAGAAAATTATTCTATCGCAAATCTACGACAAATTAAATAATTTATTCTATTTTTTTAAAGTGTGGTGTTGACATGTGTACTCCGAAATTGTATTGTCATCAAGTTGTGTGTGCGAGGTAAAAGGTTCAAAATCCTGACGTCGAGGCACATACTTGAAGGTCAGTGGCTTACCAGCAAGAAACAACCCCTCGGCCAATCCCGGGTAACATGAGTAATGTTATTGCTCCAACCGCTAGTCAGGTGGGGTAGAACGGCTTAGTGGAGTTTGCACTTTGGAAATGGGGGGGTTTTGATAGGCTCTTTCCCCCCTTTCGCTTCCGGTTAGCTACAGCACCAAAGGGAATTCCGAATAAGTCATTTGGGCCTAATGACAGCTACCTTTATCGCCCTAAGTTAGGCGCCTCCTATTTATGAACACTAGGTAGTTTATCGGCCATAGCGGTACTCCGGTTTATAGCTAGTAAAATCAGCAATGACGGAAGAAAAGACATGATGAACAAAGATAGAAAAAAGAAAGCACCAAGTTCGATCCATCGCCGATCCGAGGCACATTACATACCTAACCTACTAGGTACCTTAGGTACCTATGAGTCCTGTCCCCTTTTCCGGTGTTACTTAGGTAGGTACCCACGCTTCCCCAGATTTCACTATACCCATTTCTTCCCCCCGCTCGTCAGCCCTGACAGCTGAATCGAATGTTTTCTTATGTTTCCCCATTCCCGAAGATCGCCGAACACTAAATAATTCTAAACTTCATTCCTCCACTGACAATATTTGCGGGGTTGTCCCCTATCTAAACCCTGTATATCTTCTAATAGTAATACGGATGCGAATTGCAACCTATCGGCGTATGTAGTATAGATGTTTTACCTAGCTTTTCCCATTACCCCGAAACCGTTGTATAGTAAGCTTTTACTAACAAGAAAGGCTAAGCAACAGCCACACATTGTATGTAATGCATCCTCATGCACTGTCGAAGGTTCCAAGCGTCACTCACCGAGAAAGGGGCCAAGTAATAATCCTTTCAACGTGCCTAACCTTGGGCACCCCAGTGGGCAGTTCCACAAATTACATGCAAGTCTCCATGCCAATCGATGTATATTTTTATGCGGGCTTGGCGACAATAAGTTCCAATGTGGACATGCACTTCGTTCCCTGTCCAGTGCCATCGGGCAACCCTAGTCCGAGTATATGATGTTATTATAGTTATTAGTATAGAGGCTGCATGTCTATAGTATACACATAATGCGGACGGCTGTAAGACACGACATCGAATTCCTTCGGAGGTAGGTATTATTGTCAATATGCATCATTTGGAGCATTAAGCCATGTATACAATAGGTGTAGGTAATAAAATGCATGTCGATGCAGGAGCCATGATTCGTACAGATGTCAGAAGATAATTGGAAAGGTAATATAGCCAATACGTTTTTTTTATATAAACCCGGGAAGATACTATTCGTTGTAAGTACCTATCTACGTTAAATCTAGTCTTTTTATAGAAGCGTCGATGTTTGTTCAAATATATTTATCAGAGCTTTCATAGATTTGAATTTATTCCAATTTTATTAAGATTGTTAAGGAGAGGTAGGTATTAGGTATGAGCTTATAGAGCTACTGAGCTACATAAATCTTCTAATTGCACGCTTTTCTAATAACAAGGAATGCACCCAAGGTATTAGAACCTCTGTATCAAGCTTAGTATGAATCGCTGTTTCCCTCACTTCTCTGAGCTGTCTACTACAAAGATTCGCTGGGTGAAGCCCGGATTGACAAGGGGATTATGTAGCTCAGCGATTGTACTCATACATGCCGCTGCAGGATCACCACTGCCACTTAGATTTCCCTCCCAATATTCGTTACCTGGAAATGAATTACCATCCCACGGGTAGGATATGACGAGAAGCTGGTCTGCTCTTTGGTCTCTCAACTTTTCAGTTGGATTACGCCTTGAGAATATGGTAGTGATGCCTAGTCCCATTGTGATACCAGCTATCTGTTCCTGGATCTCCCTTGCCACTCGAATCCATGCAAACTCAAGTGTTCTAATATGTGTCAGCTTCGGTCCTAGAATCATCAGTGACTCCTTGAAAGCATTGATGAAGAACTCGGGCTGTAATGCATCGTATAACCATACACCGAGGCCGAGGCCTACGATGTAGACATACGCCTTTCGGCCTACGGCCTTCGCGCGTTCATTCGCCTCTAAAAGCAGAATGTCGGCGCTGATACGTATGCGCTCGGTATAGGCTCGTATAGAGAACTTTTCTATCTCCAATTCCGATCTTTCCCCTACACCAAGGAAATCCAAAAATATATTGGTGAGTTCAGGATGTTGTTGTCTCGCTACCACACCGTCTAGAATGAGGTTAGAGTCCATATGCAGTAGCCGCTCAAATCGTGGCCCGACTAATCCTATAATGATCCCCCTAGGCTCAAATGTTCCAGCGTCCTGGGGCCTCCCATTGTTATCCCGGGCGCCATCATTAATAAAGTAACTTGGACTGCTGACTCCCATCAAGCTACCAAGCATGATCTCATCGTAGGTCAAGTATTCTTCTAGGGACTTGTAAGGTGTACCTTCAGCACCTATTGAGTCCCAAAACCTAGTTCCCATTTGAAATGACTGTCCGGTACGTAGTAGAGTTGAGTCGTTTGGACCAACAAAAGACAGGGGTCGCTTCTCGATAAGTCTCGTTACTTGGTGCGGCCAGGTCCAACCCGGACCGTATAGCTGCTTTTCTATAGAACTTCCGTGTATGCGCTTATGAGCCAGAAACCGTTCAACTAGCTCGGGAAAGCGGCCATGTACGACAATGCGCGTATCTAAGGCGTCTTGTCGGATCACATCTGGAGGAAAGTTTATGACTCTGTTTGCACTGGTAGGGAAGTAGAGCCCAGACTCCTGAAGACCTAATGACTCCATAGTTGGTGTTTTGCGAGGCTTTGAAGACATTGTGCTAAATGTGCAGGTGAATCTTGAGATATTCTTTGAGACTGAAGACTTGGTTTGATTGTAGATAAGCCGTAGCCGTGCCGAGTTATCATCTGATTTATGATTTGAAGATTAAATCTTGGGCGCCTCGGTGATTATAATAGACAGCCACACAAGGAACTAACAAGGACTGTTCCCCAGAACAAACTGTTGTTCACTCACAGGTATCCTGATAGAGTCGGTAAAGAATATGTTCCCTGGTGTATTGGAAAACAGTCCATGTAAATCCACATTGGGAGCAAGTCCTAGTTTTCAGCCGTTTTCAGCCCCAAATTCGTCCAGTGTCGTCAACCGCCAAGGCTACCTTAGAAGTACCTATTAAATTCTAGCATATTGCCCAATCACGAGCAAGAGTTTCAAGTCCGCACCAGAGTTGGTGATTTCAAGCTCTATCTTAATATGTTGAATTGAGTTCAGTGGTGGAATCAGAGAAATTCCATCCTAGGATATATTAAACTCTCGACAACTGTCCCTACATGAAACCAGGTCGTTACGTGGAACACTAACTCTGCAACAATTCATTAAAGTAGATGAACGCAGATCGCCAAGCATTTGAATCCGATGCTTATTTTGTTGTACTACGGTTTTAAGGAGAATGTGGCGCAATCAATTATAATCTCACGATCAAGCTTTTTTAACCCTTGTAATGAACGGGAACTAGCTTCTTAAAGGGGGGGAATGGATGTACGTAGATGAAGTTAGCCCGAAATTCTTGGATAATGTGGCTTAGTATTCCTGGACATGGGAGGATTTGACCCTGTTCATCCTATCGAAATTGTTTAACCTAACACTTTAGAAACAGCCCGATGAGATACAAACAATCCCTTTCACGCTTAATGAAGCTCTTTTTGTTTTCGTCGCTAATTTTGCATCGACTTTGGGGCTTTTTTTATTCACCTCTACTTGCCATCAGAATTAAAAAAAAATGGTTGATTGTTTACAATAGAATTAGAAAGACTTGATATTCAACTATACCCTATGCCGATTTCTGTTTATCTCGTTCCCACTACCGCCCGCCCTATGCTCATCATCTTAGCGGCTTAAAATAGATACCCCATGTGCGGCCCCGGATTGTAAGCCGTGCACATGGACCTGCCTAGACCGGAAGCTTCCTATGCAACAACATAGGCCATGCCGTCGACTACTCAGACTCTTCTACGCCCTCGCTTTCCTCACATTAATGAGCCTGCCTGACAGTGAGTCGACCAGGGTTCCTGGTCTGAACGACCTTAATTTACAAATAGTGACTCGACGTGGTTGTCCTATCACAATGCCCCTGTTGTACCTAGCAAACGTCCGTAGGTGTTTGGATGCAATTACTTGATGCAAGATGATACCTACCTGAACATAGAAGTACACCAAATAAGTAACTACTGGGTAGGTAGTGATGGCATAGAATAATAATGTAAGCATAGCTGGAAAGTTATTTAAGCCTTCAGTCCCGCCTTCATTTCTTTGACTGAAAAGCCTCACCATCAACACAATCAGTACCATCACATTCTTTTCTTCTACTCCAGGCAGGACCCCCAAGAGTTACCAGCAACTAGCCATTCATTCCTTGACTCTACGTCTGGACATAACTATCAACCGGCCCATAATACCAGCACACAAGACATAACAATTGGTCTTATCCACGATGTATACTGTTGCCAAAGTCGTTATTGCTCTGGGCGCCCTTATTGCCCCATCTATTGCCTTCTCTGGCGACATGACGTACTATGCCCCAGGCCTTGGCGCATGCGGTAATGTCAACACAGAGAGCGAAGCCGTTGTCGCCATGTCCCCCAGCCAGGACGGAAACTGTGGAAGGACAATCAACATCAACTACAACGGCAAGATCGCTAGTGCCACAGTTGTGGACAAATGTCCTGGTTGTGCTGGCGACAGCATTGACGTGTCCCCCGCTATCTTCGAGCAGCTTGAAAGCTTGGATGCGGGACGCGTCCAGGTTACTTGGGAGTACGCCTAAATGGTCGGATAGAGTTGCTTAGACGGTGTCTACGATGAGATTTACTTGTAAATATTATTGGTTGGCAACCAGAACTGGGGACGCGCAACCTGCATATATTCATTTCTCTTGTCATTGAGGGGTTAGCATTGACATTGGGATAGAAAAGGT